GTTCTGTGTCACCGTTTGACTTAAATGTAACTAGGGGATCAGGAAATCTTACTTTCTACTCGGAAAGGATTACTGGGGACAGAACTCCTCCTTAGCTAGGGGAGAAAATGGCCTCAAAAGTGTCTGTCTAAATACTTGAAATCTCATTTGCTATCTGAGAAAACGGGGGAAAGAAATCACCAGGCTGCAGATTTCCCAAGCGATCTTTTGTTTGAGTCTAACTCTCTTGGGCCGTCCTGTGCGCACGCGGGTCTCTGTGAGTTGACAATTCATGTAACACGTTTGCGCCTGACCCGCAGCCTCACCGAGAGGGCTCAGCTGCTCAAGAACGTCTTTAAGAAGAACCACGTGAACCTGTACAGGTCTGAATCGCTGCAGCAAAACCTGCTCCGTAAGTACCTGAGTTCTTGTTTTAAATAAATCCGTGCCGTGGCCACGTCCTAGCGTTTACCAGAGCAGTAGTTGGGCTGTAGGGAGATTTCACCATTTAACAATAACACTTAAAACAAGTTCTGCGTAATTGCAGCATGGTATGTAAACATTAATAACAATGGTTAGAGAATCCATCGGTCACAGCAATCTGGCTGGTAGCAGAAGAGAGAGAGCGTTTAAAAATCGCCGTTTTACTTAAAGAAAAACAGTATTTCCACATTCCTTGCTTCCTTTAAATCTTACCTCCCAAAAAAACAGTAAAGTAAATCTTAACTCTTAAAAGCTGCCTCTATATTGTTATCTTTTCTGCTTGAGCAACTTTGCAAGATCCTTTCAGCTTTCAAACAGCACAAGGAAACGTATATTTTCCCTTTCAGAAATATTTATGAATATTTGGAGTTGTAAGAAATTATTGGGTATTTTGCCCTCTTAACATTTCAAGGATCTGAAGAAGAATATGAAATATAAGGCCCTGTAGTAAATTTATTTGTGTTAGTAATAAAACTTTTGTTTCATGTTGTTTCCACATATAATTTATTTTCATTTTTACATACTCATGTTTAATGCTTTTGCTCTTTGTACTTCAAGAGGCCTTTTCTGAAGATGTCATACCCTTGGGGGCCATTTCTTATCCCCCCCCCACCCACACTGGGGCGTCAGTGAGTCGTGTGTAGACACTAAGAGCTGAACAGAAGAACGTGCTCTGAGGAAAGGAGACCACTTTTCCACCATGAGCATGTGTTTGTTTATCTTTTCCCCCTCACTTTTCTTAATTGGCAAATATTAATCGTATCTATTTAGGGGGTACGATGTGGTATTTTGATAGATGCGTACAGTCGGCCCTTTGCATCCGTGGGTTCGGCCTCTGTAGATTCAATCAACTGCAGATCAAAAATATTCAGGGAAAAAAATTTTTCAAAGTTTCGAAAAGCAGAACTCAAACTTGCCGGACACAGAGTATTGCATTGAATCTATGCAAATGAACTGATTGTAGCATGTATTGGGCGTTATAAGTTATCTAGAAATGGTTTAAAGTATCAGGAGGATGTGTGTAGTTTATATGCAAATTCTATGCCCTGTCATGTAAGACAGTGGTCCCCAACCTTTTTGGCACCAGGGACCGTTTTCATGGAAGACAATTTTTCCATGGGCCAGGGAGCGGGGATGGTTTCAGGATGATTCAAGCGCATGACATTTATTGTGCATTTTATTTCTATCATTGTTACATTGTAATATATAACGAAATAATTACACAGCTCACCATAGGTTGGGGGCCTCTGATATAAGGGATTCGAGCACCTGTGGATTTTGGTATTCAAGGGCGTCCAGAGACCAGGCCCCCACAGATGCCGGGGGAGTGGTCGAGTGAAGCTAATTTACCATATCGGTCACCTCATCTACGTATCATTTTTCCTTCCCTCCTAGCCACCTGACCTATATGGAAATACGTGATCCCACTTAATTAAACTCCCTCACCCCTTCCCAAAGTGGGGGGGCAAAAATGCGGAGGGTTGGAGTTGAGAGGCTCGAGGGGGACCGAGGGCGCCCGCTCGGTCTCCTAGGGAGCATTCGTAGAATCTAAACCGGCACCTACGATCATTACGCTCTGCTTCGTAGCTGTCTGTGTCTTTTCCAGACAGTAAAAATCAGTGTCTCCATGCTTTCGCAGGTGGGACGGATCCATTCATTCCCCAGGCTAGAACATGAATACCCAAAAACTCAGAACGACAGTGATACCCAGCGCCTTCGTGATGATGATTTCTGTTTTATCGTTAACTTACAGATGGGTACGCTTTCTCCCAAGACGAGAATGGGATCGTTTCACAGTCCGAGGTGATCCGAGCGTATGACACCACAAAACAGAGGCCCGATGAATGGTGATGGGGAGGGGCTGAGAGGCGGGCCCCGCTATGTCTCTAAGGAGAGCCACCTGGTTGTCACCACCGTCTGCTGACCAATTCCAGCCTGGTCCATGGGGAGGAAAGGTGGATCTGAGCTCGTCTCGCAGGTGGACATTCAGATCCGTGTGTATCATAGACATAAGCACTGTGCAACTAGACTGTGACACCATCTCTCTCGGATTTTTAAAAGTGTTTGTTAAGTCTTTGTAAACAGAAATTGAAAATAACCTTGGATCTCGCCGGAGTGCTTTCTTAAACTGAGAGTAGGTCAGTATTCTTACGCCATTGCTCTGGGGCTGTGACTGACTGTGATTGTATTGGCTGTCCCACGAGGTGACCAACCATTACAAAACTCTCAAATGGTATTAAGTTAAAGGGACTTTCGATATCCAAACTTAGATTTCAGGATATGCTGAAACAAACCAGCATTCTTAAGGAACTGACTCACCTTACTGAGCAGAATTTCTAAACAAGGCATTATTGTGTGTGTCAAAAATTGTCTTGATAAATGTCTGCCAAAGAAGTTCAGTAAGTGTGTTCTCTAGCTCAGTAGTCATTTGCTCAGAAATGTAAGAGAAAGTTACTGCTGGTTCTGCTGTAAGATCTGCATGCTTGACTTTTCAAAATGCAAGAGTGATTTGCAAAAATGACTATTTCAAGGCATTTGCTACTAAAATCTGTGATGTTGCACCTTTGGCCTTACAAATGCTTCTTTGTCGTTCGTCCTGTTTATGTGTTGAAGTTAGAGGACACGTGTGTTAAATGTGACTCTGTCATTACAATACTGATTTTTTAAATTATTTATGTTTCAGTCATTTCTAATGAAGTTTCGTTATCATTTAGATTTTTCTAAAAACCTGGCTTGTGCTGTAGATTTTGAGTGCTGTCGATTTGTCTTCAAAGTTTTCCCTCTTGAGAAAAATACGCTTACCTATTTATGTGGAATTTCCAAGGCTTCTGTTGCGACGTTTGAAATAACAGGTCAGGTAAATGCATGGGCTTCTGTAATGTACATAGGCTCAGCCTTTGTAATGTGTTTTGGTTCTCACTATCTGGCCCCCTAGAGATGCTTTGCTGTCTCGTGTGGCACACCTGGTGTTATGGTGACCTGTCCCTCTACTTAGGACTGAAAATTGCTTGTTCTCACTCATCAAGTAGTTCCCGAAACTGGTCACATGCTGCTTATTGGGACAAATAAGTAGTACATTTTCCCCATTTTAAAAATGCCTGTTTTACTCAAGCCTATAACTTCACAGTTAAAGGACACTTTTCATCATGAGTAGGTTTCATTAATATGTTTTAAAATGTATGTTCGGTTTAGTTATTTTCAGCATTTCCAAGACATCTCCTGAAAATGCCTATTTTGCTACCAACAATAAATGATGAATGGGCTGTTTCAAAACCACCACCAGTTTTCTACACTATTTTTTAAAAATGTTTTCATTTAAAAAAAAAAAAGGAATTATCGTTTTCAGATACACTTCAGAGATTGAAGCAAACTATTTGCCTTTTACTCAAAAGCCTGTTTGCCTTTAAGTGGACTTACCAGCAAAATAGGTAGAACTTCCTCTCTTAAAAAAGTCAACTAGAATCGAGAAGAGGGACGATTCTCCAAATCACCCCTTGAGTTCAATAATTTCCCATTCTTGTCACCCTTTTTTCTCCGTCTAGATTTAAAATGAAGATCTATATCCTTTCCTTCTCTGTATTTGTAGCTGGTTAACAGTTTGCCTCCACATTTTCTACAAATAAAGGGTTATAACGCAGACACACAATGCTAATAACCCAGAGGTGACAAGGAGTTTACGTACTTTATTTCCTATTTGGGGTTCAGATTGAGAGAATCATGACTCAGAACATCTAGTAAGAACACAGGTGTAAGAGTCTAAGATCATCTTCAAAACTCCGAAGTCACAGACTTGAACCGTCTACCGAATGGATATTCAGGGCGGCTCTGGCCTCCCGGCGACTATGGTCGATGATCGAGGTCAAACCGCAAGATGATGAGAGAGCGAGAAGGAAGCGCACCCCTCCGGAGAAACCCTTTATCGCAGCGTCGTAGAAGAACGGCTTCCACTTGCTCTCACTTCATTAGCGGCGTCTTTTTGCAAAAAATGTTAATGTAAAAAAATCATGACTATAATAGAACTGAATTTTCTGACTTAAGAAAACTGTGAGTTTTATTTTTTATCTTGAAATAGGGATTGTTTCTGTGGAGCTCTTCAACGTGAGAATACTCACGGTGAATAACGGACAACATGATCAGAAATATCGCTAATTTATGCCTTTTTGTCCCATAGTCCCATTTTTAATTATTGGCATTCAGTTCATCTCTTTGCTTCTTGGGTGGGGGTCGGGTGCAGGGGGTGGGGAGTCACCCCCTTGGTAAGACTTAAAAAATAACATTGCAATTGCGGTGACTTTACAGTGTTAGCTTAGAAAACAGGCTGATTTTTTTAACCTTAATTGGAAAAAAGTCACACGGTTTACCAGGATTACGAAAAACAGCCAAAGTGACTTTTAACATGTGTTTTCTGAAACAAAGGACACGTACTCTTCATTTTAAAGTTCCTTATAGGGACTCTGGCAAATGCTAATACGGTTGCTTTATGATGTTTACAATTCAGAAAATACTACTTATAGTAGAAAATCTTCATTCATTTAGCATTGAAAAGCTGGGAGTTGCTTCTTTAATGTTGAATAGTACACAGTGGTGTTGAGCATGGACTTTCTAAATATTTTATATTTACATATTAAAACTATATTGGGGTCTCACGCCCAGAAAGATGCTATATTATAGAATTTATTAGCAGGAAAACAGTGTTTCTCAGGAACGTAGTAAATTTCCAGTGATATATGTATAGCCATCCTCCCCCCTCCCCTCTGTGCTCTAGGGTGAGGCTGCGTCAGCATCGTTGCTAACTTAATGGAAAACTTTTTCTGATCAAGTCAGGTGAAGGTGTATTCTGCTAAACAATGTGAGCCTTCTGCATCAGTTGTATGGTCATTAAATGGAATCAGTGATTCCTCTTAATTTCCAGAAGGGAAAATGAATTATAGAAATCAATCAGCATTTATTCTGATCGTTAAATTTTATATTTTAATTTTGCAATTCAGCACTCTAAACATCCAATAGGAACGTCACATGGTGATTTGTTCTACATTGTGTGCGCCCTACAACACTTACCACCTATCATTTGAAACGTTTTTTCAGGAAACGAATGCTAGTCAGAAAGTAATAGATTGTATTAGTCATTGTTTTTAAATTATTTACACAAAATCACAATTATCACAAAGTTAATCATGCATGTTTATTTTTGTGCAGTTGCCCTTAGTTCCTGGTTTTAAAGCTTATTCAATTAAATCTATCACCTTATAAATAATTATCTACAACATTTAGGGGGGAAGATGCACATCCCGTTCACATCTTGTGGACCAGGAATTCTTTTTGTAAATTAAGGTAACACCATGCAGTTCGGTGCCTAATAAGTGCTTTTCAGTGATGTACATTTCTGTGATGCTTCGTAAGATACCATAGTCTGCTTTGTCGCACATTAAAGTAACTGAAGTCACTTGTGAAAACCTAGTTATACTTTGCTGCATTTTAATTAACCTTCAACAGCTATTCAAATGGAATGTAAGTTAAATTCTGAAGGAAAGGAAGTAAATGTTTTCCATTTTTCGTCTTGATTTATTTTCTGTATGAGAGCAGCTGTGTTTTGGATAGGTTTATGGTTTGCATGAATTAATATTTAAAGTGATCCACGCCAATGCATGGCTATTGCTGTAAATCTTGATGTTTATTTCTGCCTTATAAAATTCTGTTGTGACCTACCTAGAATTTAATATTCAGTGGACAAATTAATTAGTTCTCTGCACAACTTTTTTAAATAAGTGGATTATTTTACAAACAAATTTGAACACATTTAATTGAATCTTTTGTTTAGCTTGCCTCTAAGAACTGTTCTTAATAGAACTCACAGAACTTCTCAGCAAATAAATCTCCCTTAAGTAGGAAAAAGCTAGATTTCACATTTGCTTACTTTGAATTAGCAGCAACTTTCCATAGATAAATCTGCTCTTGCAAAGATGGGAGCAGAATAATTTTAAAAATAAAAAATATTTTTATGTTTCATGGTTCTAGAATAGAAGCCATACATACAGTAAATACTGTTTGTTGTTTAACTACTTCAAGCCTCATTTTTCACATTTTCAAGTTTATTAGGTTAAAAAAAAAAAAAAAGTCCACCTTGGAAGGCAGCTACTATGGAAAACTGCAGTTTGCATTAAAGATAAAGTAGTATTTTCAGCTCCCTGAAAAACCATTCCTGCTCAAACTGCTGTAGAAATTATGAAGCTGCATGAGTGGAAAGTATTGAATCTGTGGTTATAGTAGTTTTCTCAGGTTTGTTTATCTTGATGTTCGATTGCACTGTGTTTTCTAAATAGTTATTATAGTTGAGTAATATTCATTTCTATGCCGTGTTATGTGTCATTGGCCTTTTGTGAATGTGCATGTTTTAAACTGCAAATTTTAAACATTTTGTCCTCTAATTGTTATTAAAAATGAAATAAACTTTAGCATTACAAAAAGGAAATTGTTGAAGTTCTGATTGCTAGTTTTAGAAATTACATTGCTTTACAAAACCTTAAGCCTATAGTAACTACAGTCTGTAAAGGTATATCCATTTAATAGCTTTTTAACATAATTTGTTTACAACCCAAGTGATATATAAAATATCCCTTCATTTTAATCCAGTTAAACATGAAATGGAGCATATTAACTCCAGTTTGGTAAGAGGGGTAGTTTTAATAATTAACGAAGAATTTTTTTATAAAATTATTTTTACAATCAGAAAAGCGTCCTGCGATTGTCACCAATAAATATTTTTAATCATTTTGCAAGTAAACAGCTAATCCATGGTTCCATCTTTTTATGCAGAATGAATTTCTTAAATTTTCTAAACCCATCGAGTTTTTTTAAGTTCATGAGAAAGTAGCCAAGTTTTGCCAGTAACCTTGGAAGGAAGTAGCCAGAAAATAATAAAGTTGAGCACATGAGACAAAAGTACAGGAAACATCAGAAATGAGAACAATAGTTTTGTCAAAGAATAAGTGTCTTTTGGTAAAAAAGAAACCAAAGCTGCAATTTGGTAAACTGCTAGAGCAGGGTTAGTTTGCAGACGGGCACTGGGGAAGCGATCTGAGGAACCTCCGATTTTATTAGACGGGGTCCAGGTGTGCTTAGGTGGCTGGAGTCCTCTGATGCTCTCCCCACCTTTCCAGGGACAATCGTCGGGCGTGGGTCTCCGTGAAAAACCACAGGAAAATAATTACGGAAGGTTACTTCTGAATTGTATCAAGTAATTTTCACATCCAACTAAGCAGTTTATACTGACCCCGTAATTTAAGATGCCTTCTAACACCGCCATAGGGAAACAGCAAACTGGAAATACGTTTCCATGAATTCAATACATCATCTCCATTTAAAGTGCGTTTTTGTACGCTTAGGGCATCTCTAACCTCAAGCTTCCATTTCGGTAACACACAGCCACCTCTCTTTAATGAAGAAAGGTCTTCCTGACCTGGATAATTTCACAAGCGGGCTAATAAAAACCGTTGGAAAATATGAAATACTTCTTAACATTCAGTTTTTATGACTTTCAAGCACCAACTATGTAACTAGCAATTCAAATAAGAAT